AAWKKWAWKTTTTGYCCATTCTTTATAATTCTGCTGATTCCTCAARCTACTGACAGTGATTGACAAGATAAATCAATATCKTTATTGGCTGTAATAATATAATAGGTGTGGTCTRCATGGGTTTGRTCGAWCTAAGGAAGTTSTTGTCAGCTCGCTTTGCGGACATTTTGAAGTGTACTTATTTGAATGGAAACTGAAAGTAATAAAGGTTAATTTGTTTAACAAATTAAAATATTGTGCATTCTTTGATTAGTTTATWATTAGTTTAGTAAGCACAAAAAGCATGAAAAATGTTTGTAATTTGATAGTGCTAGATTGTATTTTATCAATTTGCTTTACTTCAAAAGTTGATTTTCAGTGCATAATTCGTTTTCAACAACCATTCACAGTCCTTAGTTGCACCAAACGGTTTAAAAAAGTCCAGTATTTAGAAAGAATATATTAGGCTATAATTAGCGGCGTTTTTGCTTCTCAGCATCTTTGARAGCTAATATCTCATAACCTATGGTATGTTCAAACTGACTTGGTTTATAGCTCTTAGTATAAGCCCTTTGACATTATAAACTAATTTTCCATTTCTTTCTAAATATAACGTTATGCTAATATTGTGCAAAAAGAAGAAAAAAATTGCAGTCCAMAAACGTATTTTTTAGTTCCAAAAGCAAACCGCACGTTTTTCCCGCCAAAAAGTGGTTGCCAAACGCGCGCGCGCGTCCATCTCATGCCGATATTACTGAAAGAGATTTGAAATTTGTGATATGTAAACGGGCTATTTTTCGTGCACTAACTGTACAAAGCTTTGTATAAAAATGTTCATTCTAATGTTTCCTGTTCCTAGAGTAAATTATATTATGATTCCACCCATCAGTACAAAATAATTATGATATAAAGTGTGTTGAAAATTTCAACTTGAGATGAATTTTCACGGTTCAATATTGTGGTAATAATTGCGTACTTTTCCATTTTTTTTCATTTTTGGGCTGGAATGAGTCAATCAACTTGTACTCCGGTGCATTCCGGTTTTATAATATTTTGGACGTCCCATAATGATTGAAGATCAGACTGCGTAAGGTAAATAAGGAGAGTGATCTTTCAAACTTTATTTTCATGTCGATACTACATGATGATTTTTGTCTTTGCGATACTTTTGAATGATTTTTCATACTTTATAGTTACCAATAAATCGTTCCAAAAACAATGCAAAACGTATAAAAAAGCACACTTTGAAGTGGGTTGTGTAACGCATTAAATAATTAAACATTGATGAAAAAATTCTTATGTATTTACATTTTCGCGTAAAGTCAAGAACTTCTTAGCCGTTGCTAATGGAAAGTTAAGTGGTAGCAAGAGTTGTTTAGAAGATATAGGATTTCAATTTTTCTAAGACAAAAATAAAGACTAGATCCTTTATTTTATGTTCTTTTAGTTGTGTATTAAACTTAGAAATAAGAATCTACGGTCTGAATTTAAGATAACAAAATTGAATCGTCTCTAGCTTGAAAAATAAAATTTAATTTTTGCATTTTGCCACTGGCACTGCACTGAAGAAGATCGCAGTTGCGATCGAAACGTCTGCATTAAATTTTATTTTTCAAGCTAGAGACGATTCAATTTTCTTATCATGCAACATCCTAGCTGCAATTTTAAAATATTTGGTCTGATTTTAAGTTAAAAGCACCATTTATTTGCTAAATTAGAAAAATCGAGGTTCTTATATAACCGACTGAGGGGTTTAGCTTCATAAGCAGTTCAAATGGATAAGTTTTAGAAAACGCTCTCTTGCRCAGGATGGGTCTTTATTATACTCTTATTTGCTTTCTGTTATACGGTATTCAGTCACACTAGCATGTCTTGTTCTAGTTGGCCTGCACGGCCATSTGACAAAAGTACGTGCTTTTAATATCAATTAGCAATGGGAGTATTACGCACATACGATTCTTTACGTGAAATTTCCTGTTCAAGCTAGAAAAAAACTGTTAGTATGACAAGGAGATACTTCCCAAAGCTAAGTCATTCTTTCCTTATTTCGTGGACACGAATAAGTGAGTTGTTGCAGAAGGTTCCCTAGCTTTACAATGGCGACAAAAGGTATTATACTGGTGATATTAATGGCAGCGTTTCTGTGCGCTTTGGCTTCAGACTATGAAATCGAAGGAAAAAGAGGCGTTCAAACGCTAGCAGACGTTCAGCTCAAGCAAAGGTAGTAGTAGGGAACGAATTCCCACCATGGAATCAATTCACTGCAAAAGTCCAGATGTTGCAAATGCATGTAATATGTAAAATATATAAGTACGTTCTGCTTTCATTAATAAACAACATGCAACTAGTTTTCCTACTTTTTGTTTTACTCTACTACAGGTTGAACGAAATGGACAGTCGTAAACTGATACTRCTCAAAGGTATGAATTCTAAAGTTCTGACAGGCTTGAGAGAAACAGGTCATGAAAAATAAACTGATAAAAGGAAAAAAAATATCACAAAATCAATGACAGTACGCTTATGCTTAGTCGGCCAAAATAACCTGACTCATTTTGATTTTTTTATAACATCTTATATCAAACGTGCTCTAAAAAGTACATTCCGTGCCATCCCAAGGTTATGGGAGTGTAGATTCACGACTATGTGAATTGCTAATTGGTGGAAATGCTTGCTCACGCATCAAAAGCAATGTATCACAATAGCTTTCTTTTATGAACTCGCTGTTCTCTAGGTTTGTATAAATCTTCATTGTATTTATTAACTAGAAGTTTAATTCTAATTCTCTAAGGTCGGGATGGTCGTGATGGAAAAGACGGAGCACCAGGACAGCATGGTAGTCCAGGACAGCAAGGTAGACTGGTCTTGCAATGACACAATTTTCACGCTTTTATTTATAAAATTAAAGTAGATGTAAGGAAAGTAGTATGCTCAGACATTAATACACTCAATATCTATCAATACAGARGGGGCTGTGAATAAGTAGCCAGTTTAAAACATGGAAGAGTATAGAGAAAAACTGAGTTGATCGGAAAGCGGAGTGAATCAAAAACAACAATTTTCCAAACATTGTTATCATCTGTGTCTTGCAGGTAGAGATGGTCGTGATGGGAAAAATGGATTACCAGGACCAAAAGGTGACATCCTCTCCGCAAAGCAATCAATAAACAACATTTTCATAAACACCGTTTGTTTAACAGGACCTCAAGGACCACAAGGGCCATCAGGACAAAATGGCGCAAGAGGACCACAAGGACTTAGTGGGGGTGGTATCGAGTACATACGATGGGGCAAGACGTCATGTCCTTCTGGTGCTGATTTGGTGTACAAAGGTAATTGACGTTTTAAAAGAAACAATAATTCCGATACTTTTGAAGCCACAACTCTCGTAACTATAAGTCTTGAGAACGATAGATATCAAAAGATATCTATCATTCGTGTATTTTTTTATTTCTGAAATATGAATATAATGTGACATTATGTGACATTATATTGACTTTATGTGTATTGAGCACTCTTTAATGGGATCAGCCACTTCCTCATACGATTAATGTGATATTATAAATTTAGCAATGATTGATGACCCTATTTATTACAGTCATGAATATTATTCTACGAGCCATATTAGTATAAGTTTTGATTAGAACACGTTTAAACAGCATTTCAGGTCGAATCGCAGGAGAGCATTACACACATACCGGAGGAGGTGCTAACTACGTATGCGTCCCTGAAGTCCCGGATTACCTCAACTACAAACCAGGAAGACAAAATACTGCGTTTATATATGGAACAGAGTATGAAGTAAACGACTTCAACCCACTCTCTAATACCGACCTCCACGACCATGACGCTCCTTGTGTCTCCTGCTATGTGAAGACACGAAGCTCCAAACTGATGATCCCAGCAACCTACAAGTGTCCCTCAGGGTGGACCAGAGAGTATTATGGGTACCTGATGACGGAATATTATGGCCACAAGAGTAACAAGAATTTTATCTGCGTAGACAAAGATGCCGAGTCTGTATCRGGAAGCAAGCCAAGTCTGAATGGAGCTCTTCTCTATCCTGTTTCTGGAAACTGTGGTTCCCTTCCTTGTAGTCCATACGTACAAGACCGA